TTCAACATAACAATCTGCATAAAAAATTTAATTCATAAATTAATCTCTAACTCAAAATTCATTCAAAAGTTCTTCCAAATTTAAGTAAAATAGTTATAAAAATATAATAAAAATATAATATATCAAATACCCCCAAACTAAAATTTTTACTTGTGCTCAAGTAAAAGACTGAAAAGAAATACTTTAAAGCATATTTTTCCACCACGTTCATCTATTCAACTTGATAGTATTGAAATTCTATTCATTTTTTGCAATTGTTAATGAGTTGAAATTTCAAAATGAATATTTCAAAATAAACTATTACCTCTTATACCCCTCAACAAAATTTGCATAATTTCAGTACATAAATTCCCTCTCTAACTCTCTATCATTGATTTATAAATTATGTTTTACTTAACTTTACCTCTTTGCTACTTTAACTAAGGTAGTGAACTTAGCACTATTTACTATATATATCACAAATTTTTTCTTTATGAGTATATCTACACTCAATCTCACACTTTTATCCCAAATATATTTTTACTAGTGAATGTGTTTTACACTCTATCTCACCCTTTCACTTAAAGTATTTATTATTATTGTTATTATTATTATCTTTTTTTTCCCAACTGAATGTGTTATACACTTCATCCCATCCATTACATGCTAGTTAATTTATTTTATTCACTCAAAATTTAGTTTAGGACTAGCTCAAAAGGTAAATATCAAATTCACATTTTATATCTCACAAGTGTAATGTCCAAGATTAGGTTCCTGTGCAATTGTCTTTATATCAATTAAATTAAAGAAAATAATCACTAGTTATTCTAATTATTTTTTGCAAGTATATCTTATTTTCTTTTTAAATTAACCACAATCGTAATCAGGGATAAAATCTCAATTCCACCATGCTTCACTGACTACTTATGGTGAAAAGCTTAGCCCTTTAGTGTAAAACAATATAAACTTGAAAAAAATGGCATTTTAAACTCTAAAGACCCAATACCCCAAACTTATTATGAACAATGTGCTCAATATTTATGAACACGTTATGCACAAGAAAATAAAGGGAAAACAGTGAATAAACTAAATACTCCCCTTGTATGATGCCCACATAGCTTGTTCCAGAAGTAGTCACTAGAATTTTGCACTAAGAATTTTTCTACTACAAAACAGATATCATCATCATCATTGAAGAGCATATTAGTTTAACCTTAATTAAGAATCCGTAAGTGTTAGTGACACAATTATAAATTAAGAGGGAGAAGTGTAAAGAAAAAAATATAAAAATAAATGAATAAAAAAATCTAGGATTTTATCAAATAAACAAAATAAATATTAAAATAAAAAATTGTACTTATCTATCTAATATTATGATATTGTGTTGCCTCCCAATTAGCACTTTGTTTACAGTCATTAGCTCGACTTTGCAATAAATGACGCAAATGGAGTTAGAGTGAATTTCGACGTTTCGAAATCCCCTTATAAATATGCATACCTTTTTCAATTTGTCTTGCAATTTACTTCCTTGACATCAAGGTCTTTTTCCATCTTGGTGAGCTTTCTGGACACATAATCATTAATTATATCAGTATTAAAGCATTTATTAGTGTCCAAAGAAAATTTTGAGACATGAAAAATGTTAAAATTTACATGTTCGTTTCCAACTCACAATGTTAACTTACCATCCTGCACATTTATTAATACTTTGCTTGTTGCGAGAAAGGGTCTCTGAAGTATGAGTGGAACTTCTCTACCAACTTCCATGTCTAGAACTACAAAGTCGATATGGAATATGAAGTTGTTCACCTTTATCAACACATCCTCTGTTATTCTTAAGGGGTATCTCACCGATTTATTTACCAGTTGCAATGATATTATTGGGGGCTTCACATCGTAAATACCTAATTTTTTAAATACAGAATAAGACATTAAGTTAATACTAGCACCAAGATCACAAAAAGAATTTTTGAAATAAAAATTGTAATATTGCATGGTATAGTGAAAGTCCCTAGATCTTTCACTTTAGGTGGCAGCTTATTTTGAATGATGGCACTGCACTCCTCGGTGAACATAACAATCTCGTGATCTTCTAAACTCTTCTTCTTTGCTAGAATCTTCTTAAGAAACTTTGCATACTTTGGCATTTCAGTAAGAATATATGCAAAAGACACATAAATGTGAAGTTTTTTTAAATATATTAAGAAATTTAAGGAAATTATTATCTTCATTATGCTTTTTAGGTGTTGTGGAAATAGAATGGATGGCATATAGAGCTTGAGCACAACTTGCTTCTTATCCTCTTTTTGCTCTACTTTTATTTTTTCAACATTTTTCTCTTTCGTTCCTTCATCCACTCTTGAATCTGTCAATTGCTTTCCATTTCTCAAGGTGATTTCGTAACATGTTCTTTTGGATTCATCTTAGTGTTATTTAGCAAAGTACCTTGAGCTCTCCCATTGATCATGCTTGCCAATTGTCCTATTTAGATTTCTAAGTTCTTGATTGACACTTGTTGGTTTTGCAATATTAATTATTGATTTTGAATGCTGTTTTAGTTTTTTATTGCAAATTATGTTGTGTTTTTGTGAATAACTACAGTCGTATCTTCAAGTGAGAGCTTTTTTTCTTGAGCCTGAAATCCTTGGGAGGCCTGACCACATTTTGCTGATTTTTTCATGAAAAAATTGGATGATTTCTCATCCCATGATTATACATGTTGGAGTATGGAATGTATGGTGGTCTG